ACTATAAAAAAATGCTATAAAAATGTATATGATTTTACTATAAAAATGCATTGTATATGATTTTACTATAAAAATGCATTGTATATGATTTTACTATAAAAATGCATTGTATATGATTTTACTATAAAAATGCATTGTATATGATTTTACTATAAAAATGCATTGTATATGATTTTACTATAAAATGCATTGTATATGATTTTACTATAAAAATGCATTGTATATGATTTTACTATAAAAATGCATTGTATATGATTTTACTATAAAAAAATGCATTCTATATGATTTTTATAAAAATGCATTCTATATGATTTTACTATAAAAATTGTATATGATTTTACTTCATGATTTTACTATAAAATGCATTGTATATGATTTTACTATAAAATGCAATATGATTTTTAAAAAATGCAATATGATTTTTACTATAAAATGCATTGTATATGATTTTACTATAAAATGCATTCTATATGATTTTACTATAAAAAATGCATTCTATATGATTTTACTATAAAATGCATTGTATATGATTTTACTATAAAAATGCATTGTATATGATTTTACTATAAAAAATGCATTGTATATGATTTTACTATAAAAATGCATTGTATATGATTTTTAAAAATGCATTGTATCTATAAAATGCATTGTATATGATTTTACTATAAAAAAAATGCATTGTATATGATTTTACTATAAAATGCATTCTATATGATTTTACTATAAAAACATTGTATATGATTTTACTATAAAATGCATTGTATATGATTTTACTATAAAAAATGATTGTATATGATTTTACTATAAAAATGCATTCTATATGATTTTACTATAAAATGCATTCTATATGATTTTACTATATAAAAATGCATTGTATATGATTTTACTATAAAATGCATTGTATATGATTTTACTATAAAAATGCATTGTATATGATTTTACTATAATGCAATATGATTTACTATAAAAAATGTATTGCATTGATATGATTTTATTATACAAATACACTGCACATGATTTTGCTATATAAATGTAGTTTAAGTGATTTTACTATAAAATGCTTTGAAAATGATTTTACCCTACAAATGGATTGTTATCCCTAAAACATTCATCAACAAAAGATACATCAAAACATTCATGGAATTGTAATAAACCAGTAATAGGTAGGCAAATACCAACATGTCCTTAGTAGATTTGATATCGGAGCATAGCGACTCATGAGATCGATTAACTAAAATGGCCAGATATCGTGAGTAAGCAGATTTCTAAAGACGATTGAAAATCTGAAGGATTTTAATCTAATCTGGTTGAAAGTTGATTAAAACTTAGTGAGAAGCATGTTGATGAAACCGAGAAAGACAGTCTGTTACAGTTCTCTCTCTCTCTCTCTCTCTCTCTCTCTCTCCTCGTATCGCCTCAGGGCGAATGTGATTATAGCCCTCCACAATTTCCTGTCCTTCGTAGCTCTTAATAAATTTTCTCTTTTGTTATTTCATCTAAACCCCGTTCCATCATCCATTTACTTAAGGCCACTAAGTAAATTATTTCAATGGGATATGGCCGTAAGCAAAAGCACATATGCTATTATATAATAAAAGAAAAAAAGGTTTAAAGTGATAGTGACGAAAGGAAAATGGAACTGGATCTAAATGCGAGAGAGTATTTGCGAAGAAGAATTAATAAAAGAAGCAATTCGAAATGTACAAAAACAGACATTAACATTCGTTCGTGGGGACAACATCAAAAGTTGATAAAACTCGATGGAAGACAGAACACCTAAAATATATAGGCTTCTTCTTTATGTGTTGTATCCCCTCAGGATGTAGGCGATCATAGCTCTCCACATTTTTTCTTTCTCCTAAACCCCTGTCCTACCATCCATTTACTTAAGCTCATCAAGTATGTTATACGCTGGTTTTCTTTGTCTCTATTACCTTTTGAGTATCAGGTTTTCCAAACCCTCCTTCCTCATTACGTGCCCCAGAAATTTCAACTGCCTTTTCCTGATGTTAAATATAAGCTTCCTTCCTGTTTCCATTTTCTCTAAAACCTCGTCGTTCCACACGTGTTCAGTTCGTGGTATCTTCAGCATCTTTCTGTGGAACAACATTTCTGTTGCTTCAAGTCGCTTCTGAGTTATCCCAAATGACTTAACTCACTTTATAGTCCACCAATAGAAGTTTAATCAATCAGAAGACGTAGAACATTCAATCCGTCGTGTATAAAGGCGGCCATTTTGTTCACTCTACCCGAATGTCCAGTCCAGCTTGCTAGGCGAAGAGATAACAGAAGGACGAACTATGCTCTGCTACTTTTTACCAAAATATCCACTGCTAACCTGAACAACGCTTTCCTACTGTCTTCGAAATATTCACTGCTAACCTCTGGATTCTATACTCGAAGACGACCGTCATTATGAACAACACTTAATACCTTCTGTCACAGCTATAATTTACACAGCTCTTGCTCGTGTGCCCTTTCATTTACAGTTTTACACTTGATTGCTGCCCTGAATCTTTTTCTGGATCATCCCTGATGTATATTAGGATTTCTTTGACCGCAGTTATCAACAGTAAATCTAAGTCCAGGACCATACGTTATATGACGCGTACGGCGGAGAAGGGGCGTATTCAACATTTGATAATTTTCAATCGCGTAAAGGTTTTAGGCAGTTTTGATCAACATTTCTTTTCATGGTTAACCGTAAGGAATTGTAAATGTAGGACTACCTTATACTTAAGTAAAATAATAACAATAATAATATTCATTAAGAATTTATTACAGGAAATATCAAGTTTTACAGAAACATTGTTGACAATTATGTATTTACTTACATAACAAATAAATAAAAATAATATAAATTTTGATGCTATATTTGATTTGTTGTTAGGTATTTTTTTATTTTCTCTTTTGTTATTGGCAGCAGTTTAGAATATTTAAGCTGCAATGCTAAGTTTCCTAAGTTGAACAAAATGAAGCTATTTTGTTTACGTTTTGTTCTTTTCCATTGTTGTTTTTAGATCGCTTTCTACCAGTCATTTTGAAGGGCAATAGAGAAATTCTGAAATTTAGAATGATCGTATTCCATTTCAAAAATAAAACATGTAAAAAGGAATATTTTAAATTAATATACAGCCAAAAATAAAATGCTTTTGGTAAAAAAAAATTAATGACTTTGCTATAATTATGCAACAATAATGTAATGATATTCTGCAGACAAATCTATGGTTTATGTTACCTCATCTCATTCCATGGTTATGAACTATAAACCTAAACTGAGTTTGAAATATTGTGTAATCAGCTCTAATTTTTTTGTAAAATACTTGTATATGATATAATGAATAATTTGCAGTGAAAAAAGCTTCTTTTTTTTTAAATACGCCCCTCCTTTGCCGAAAGCGTCATATAACTAATTATTTTTCCTCTCGCAATAGGAGTAGATAGGTTTGCCTATCGTCTGGTTCACACTTCTCATCAGTCTTTTGAACAGGAGTAGAAGTTTATCTCTTGTTTCCTGTCTAGGATTGGATTTCCGGTTCCTTCTAAAGTCTATTTAAAAAATATACTTCTAACTTCTCCGACTGAATACTAATTAAATCTTGATCTTGATATGGTAGCTCACAGTATCCATCTGCGTTGAGCGGCTCTTGGGACTTGTACTCGGTGAACATTAATAAAAAACCTTCAGATCAGACGGGGACTGAGCTGCCCAATACGCATTTTTCAATTTTTACTGAGTTCAAATTCGTTTACACGGCCTTGCGGGTGATGAATTATTTTCCCTAGGCTATCGGTACTCTACCGCTATTCTATGGCAAATGTTCAGGCGTACTACAGTCCTTAGTTCCATCAGTTCCGACTTTCACAGCTTATATACGCCAAACCACGCACAGAGGCTTGAATAATCCTCATTCTCTTCATATTCCATTAGTAAGGAAGAAGTTGCACTCAACTTCTTTCCGGGAACCGCTACTTCGTATAATTCCCCGATGACAACAGTCTTAAGCTTTTTAAGTCTTAAATAGTTATCTATCCTACATATAATCGTAATATGCGTAATATACTACCCCTTTTACAGCCATGCATCAGCTTCATTCAATAACCCTCTACTTGAATGGCTCTTGGGACTTTTATTCGGTAGACATTTAGTATTAAAAAAACTACAATTTCGTCCTAGTTGGTATTTCTTGCTTTATTTACCGTAATTCCCCATGTATAATATGCCTTCATCCATAATACGCACCCCTAAAATTGTGCTGAAAGTGTGGAAAAATGCTTCTACTCATGCATAATACGCGCCCGTTATTTGTTAATCAAACCCTATAAATCGTACGTCTCCAATTTCATTACGGTCAGCTTTTCTTACTCTTATTTTAAAAAAATGTTTTTAAACATAGAATAATATTATTCTAATTTAGTTTTATGATAATTCTTATTTTATTTTACGGCAATTTTTTAAAGATTTTTTTTGTAGCTTTGCATAATACGCACCCCTGATTTTGCTTATTCATTTTTAGAAAAAAAAATGCGTATTATACATGTGGAATTATGGTATTCCCTAACTTACGGCGGTATGGTGGAGTAAAAGGTAGCGACTTCGATTAAGGAATCAGCGAGTCGAGTTCGAATTCCAGTGGAGTTCATTACATTCCTGCTAATACATTTGAGAAAGGTATGAATCCATCCCTTCTTCCCACCTGTAGTTATGCATAGCAAGACAGGGTGGGTCCTATAGCTTTGGATGGCAGCCGGTCTCGAAGAAGGAAAAACTCTGAATTTAAACCAAGCCTGGAGAAGCTTGGGATTTGTCAGGCTATCCTGCCGAGAAAACATTACCGGCTGCAGTACGTGTGGTGCTGCTACGGCCTTATTGGGTTACGGGTCTCGTGAAGAGTGATCGACTTACGAGTCTCGCAACATTTTAGAATAGAGAAACCTCTTTTTCTTTTTAAAATATTTAATTTATTTTTTTCTAGGGAAGATTTTTTTTTTCATTCTAGCGAAATTGTCTGTTAACGCGTCTCACAAATTCACATCTGTAAAGAAACCTTGGACCTCTCAGTCTTCAGTACATTGTTCTACTAATGAAACTTGCCACCAGCACCTGCAAATAATAGCATTTCTTTCTCTTCGCTCTCTTTCTCTTCACTCTCTTTCTCTTCGCTCTCTTTCTCTTCACTCTCTTTCTCTTCGCTCTCTTTCTCTTTCTCTTCACTCTCTTTCTCTTCACTCTCTTTCTTTCGCTCTCTTTCTCTTCGCTCTCTTTCTCTTCACTCTCTTTCTCTTCGCTCTCTTTCTCTTCACTCTCTTTCTCTTCACTCTCTTTCTCTTTCGCTCTCTTTCTCTTCTCTTTCTCTTCCTCTCTTTTTTCGCTTCTTTCTCTCTTCGCTCTCTTTCTCTTCTCTTTCTCTTTCTTTTTCGCTCTCTTTCTCTTCCTCTCTTTCTCTTCGCTCTCTTTCTTTTCTCTTTCTCTTCTCTCTTTCTCTTCGCTCTCTTTCTCTTCTCTCTTTCTCTTCGCTCTCTTTCTTTCGCTCTCTTTCTCTTCCTCTCTTTCTCTTCGCTCTCTTTCTCTTCTCTCTTTCTCTTCCTTCTCTTTCTTTCGCTCTCTTTCTCTTCGCTCTCTTTCTCTTTCTCTCTTTCTCTTCCTCTCTTTCTCTTCGCTCTCTTTCTCTTCCTCTCTTTCTCTTCGCTCTCTTTCTCTTCGCTCTCTTTCTCTTCCTCTCTTTCTCTCGCTCTCTTTCTCTTCCTCTCTTTCTCTTCTCTCTTTCTCTTTCTCTTCCTCTCTTTCTCTTCCTCTCTTTCTTTCGTTCTCTTTCTCTTCACTCTCTTTCTCTTCGCTCTCTTTCTCTTCACTCTCTTTCTCTTCGCTCTCTTTCTTTCGCTCTCTTTCTCTTCGCTCTCTTTCTCTTCACTCTCTTTCTCTTCGCTCTCTTTCTCTTCACTTTCTTTCTCTCACTCTCTTTCTCTTCACTCTCTTTCTCTTCGCTCTCTTTCTCTCACTCTCTTTCTCTTCGCTCTCTTTCTCTTCACTCTCTTTCTTTTCACTCTCTTTCTCTTCTTTCTTTCACTCTCTTTCTCTTCACTCTCTTTCTCTTCGCTCTCTTTCTCTTTCTCTTCTCTCTCTCTTTCTCTTTCTTTTTAGAATCATCTTCTTTAAATCATGAAGGAAATTTGACTCTTGGTCTTTTTTTTATCATTTTCAAAAGGGCAACCTTCATGGTTCACTTGCCATTGTCAAGGGTGTTGCAGGAGAGTTGCTTGGCGTCTTAATCAATGACTCTTTATAAAAATTTCCTTCCTTTCATTGATTGTCTTCTTCTTTCTTCTTCTTCTTCTTCCTCTAATAATAATAATAATAATAATAAGAAGAAGAAGAAGAAGAAGAAGAAGAGGAAGAGGAAGAAGAAAAAGCAGAAGAAGAATGAAAATCGCCTTTTTTCTCAATCTCCTGTTTACAACAATGTGCTGAAAAGTTCCCAGCCTAAGAAACTCTTCCGCCCCCCCAAACCTCCAAAAAACAAAAACAAAAACAAAAAAACTCTGATTTTGATTATTTGACCAAATTTGGGAAAATGGGTTGAGCCGAGAAGTTTTCAACACTATGTATAATAATAATAATAATAATAATAATAACAATAACACTCGAAAATGTGGCATATGGGAACATCAACAATCCCTGTTGTAGTTGGAGCCAGAGGACTAGTTGGAAAAGATTGCAGTAGACTAATTGAAGGATTCCTGGAAGTCCATGCCTCAAGGAGATACAAAAATTGTTCTGACAAGTACAGCCCACACCTTACGAAGGGCTTTATCTATGTAATTTAATTCTTTTTTTTTTTTTTTTTGTCAGTGGAAAGTGTCCTGACGCCATTTCTAACCTTAGGTCCCTGGGCGGGACCCGGAAAGAAATGTGTAAACGCCAGAAATCAAAGAAAATAAAAATAATAATAATATATCATATAATAATAATAATAACAATAATAATAACAATAACAATAATAATAATAATATCCTGAAACAATTGACCATCTTGTCTCAGGTTGCAAAGTGTTAATACGCACTGAATATAAAACTCGGCATGATGGAGTGGGCCAATATCTGCACTATGTATAATAATAATAATAATAATAATAATAATAATAATAATAATAATAATATCCTGAAACAATTAATCATCTTGTCTGAGCTTGCACAGTATTAGCACGCACTGAATATAAAACTTGACGTGATAGAGTGGGTCAATATCTGCACTGGAAATATACATTCACTGACTGACCAATCAGTGCTGCTTTCGATGGAAATTTATCAAAATCTCTCGATTAAAACAATTTCTTCAGGACCGTAAATTTTTCTTGACCAGTAACTGTTATCGTTCGGTTGTTGAATGACCTCAAGTGATGTGGCTTATCTTATTTCGTACAGTTCTTGATTCGTGATTCTCTTCGAAGAAGGAAAAGTCAGAAAAAAAAGTCACAAAATGCAAAATTTTCTATATAAAGACAGTCCAATCTGGCCAGAGAATAGGAAATATCAGCCGCATTCTAAAAATAAGACACGGAGAACAACGAAAGCCATGAAAAAGTGGCGCATCAACTTCTGTGGATTATGCTTTCAGATAATTCGATAGCAAACCAAGCATAGGTATAAATAACTTGTTGGAAACATTAACCAGGAGAGAAGTAAGGAATTACTACATCCAGTAGGAAGGCCTCTGAGCTGGAGATCGGAGCTTTTGAGAAGCCTGAAATCACGTCTTAGTTGCTGTTGTTACCATGTTCGACCTGATTCGGGGTGGTAGCAACTGTCAGGGTCCCAGCTATGGGCAAATTGAACCTCCAAATAGAAACAAGACACTACGAAAGTATAAAAATACATTTTTATAGCAATAATTTTTTATATAAAATATTACAATAAAATATTTATAGTAAAATTACTAATAATACGCACATACTAACAAATTGTAGAGACTTCGCCCGAATTTGTTCAAAATACTACAAAACAACCAACATGAGCTCTTTCATGGCATTAATCCATATAATATCCTAGAATTTCTTATAGAAATCAAATTGTATTCAAAAATATAACTTCAACCTAAGTACAACATAAAGCATACTTATCACCGCCTGTAGTAATTATATCCACAATAACATGTATATGCACAAAAGCTGAGTATCATCTACCATGTATTCAATTGTGAAAGCAGAATAACATATCATTTTTTTTTATTACTTCCAAGCTTCCAAGAAAATTACATTTGAGTATTAAATGACCCATGAGCAGTTGATATGCCGTTACATAGACAATCAATCAATCAAAAAGTAATGAATTTGAGGTTCCAGATGAACGATTTAAGAAGGAGAAATTTAGCGATTTCCATCAGGATCCCGAGTGGATCGCAGTTTCAGAAGAAAACATCGCCAACAACGAACAGGCGCAAATCAACGGATATGGCATGTAGGAGTTTACTATTCAACAACATTATATACCTGAAGAAAACCCATCCTGGGTAAGACGATAAACTACATCCGCGTCCTGGGTAAGGCGATAAACTACGTCCAACAGCAAGGCCTCTGATCAGGAGGTTTTGAGGAGCGTGGAACCACCTCTTAATTGCTGGTGTTCCCAGGTCCACCCTGACCCGGGGTGGTAGCAACTGTTAGGGTCCCAGCTATGGGTAAATAGTTAACCCACAAACTGGGGTCAAAACACTATGAAAGTGTAAAAATAAGTTGTAATACCATAAATACTTTGTAAAAAATTATTACCAGCAATAGATTTTTGAAGAAAAATTATTACCTGCAATACATATATACAGCAATAATCAGCAATACAGTTTTGAAAAAAAAATATTACCAGCAATAAATTTTTGAAAAAAAAAAAATTTCCAGCAATAAAAATCTTGTCGGATTAAATAGCCCATTGAGTTTGATATGCTGTAAAACAAACCAAACCAAACCTGAAGAAAACCAGAGCGTACTCGGTTGAAACGTTGTGATAAAAAAATGAAGAGGAAATTAGTGAACCCCTTAAATAGTTTCATCAGATCGAGACTCTCATATGGATGTTATGCTTGACGCTAGGATTGTTAAGAAATAACTAAACTGTCAGTTGTATACATCCGCTTACTCAGATCAATGATTAAAAATGACTTTAAGAGGATGAAAACTAGGTCTTAGCGAGGACCTCCCTTCTTCGAACTTTGTGCACTGACGCTACACTATCACAAAAAATTGTACCAAATAACCGAAGCAACATTACTTGAAGATTTTCAGCAGCAGCAACATCTAAAATGTATAGCACATTTAACTCTCACAGAAACTATTGACACAATCAAATGCACATTGCCTTAAAACAAAAGATTAGGAAGAAAAACCCCAATCAATACTGGAAAGAACAATAACAGTTACTGGGCTTGACAAACATTTTTTTCTGGAAAACTGTTTTTATAAAAAGATTTTATCAATTTCAATTAAAACTAGTAACTTCATCAGATTGAGACGATCATATGGATGTCATGCATAGAACCAAACCTATTTAGAAATATCTAAACTGCTAGCCGTATAAAATCACTTTATCAAATCGATTGTTAGAGGTGACTTCGTGTGAATAAAGCCTGTAGGTTTTAGCAAAGACCATCCTTCTTTGAACCTTGTGGGCTACAGAATCACATAGAACTATACCAAATAACAGATACCCCATCACTTTCAACAACAGCAACAACTAAATTCGATAGGACATGTAAATCAAACAAAATTTATTAAGAGCTACAAAGGACATGAAATAGTGGAGAGCCATGGTAGCCAATGTCCTGAAGGAATATTGCACATAGAAGATGGAACTCAAAGATAAAATGCTCCACACTACCCAAAACAAAAGGTCAGGAAGGACCCCCCCCCCTACATCAATACTGGAAAGAGCAATAACAGTTACTGGACTTGATAAACCTATTTTCTGAATTTAAAATCTGTTAGCCGATTCTACTTTTCGCTCTGATATTTCTTAGATGACACACGCACATCCAGACATCAGTCAGTTATGGGCCATGCGTGATAGACGCTTAGGTGATCAAATATCTTCGATATATGACTGACGATTTTTTCCCGCAGTAGGTTGCCATTTCTTTCTCCGGTAAACCAGTTGCCATCCATGGCTATAGAACCCACTCTGTCCTGCTATTTACCCACAGAAAAAGAAGAAAGAGATTCATACCTTTTCCCAAGAGTATTAGTACGTAAGTGAATGTAATGGATTCGACTCGAATTTCAATCTGCTATTCCTTAATCCAAGCCGCTATCCATAACTCCACCGAGGCTCCACACATACCTATGCGTATTACTAACATATAATCTATTTTTAGTCATTTTATTACAATTGTACTATTAATAGATACTAACAAGTTAATAGAAAAATTACTTAATACCTTCTTTTGCACAGTGTTAGCGAAATCTTAGAAGTGTCTTTAATGTGTCGTAATTTGTATACAGTTGTATATAGCTTCTGCAAACAGTCAACTGAAGTGCGTTATTTAGAAGCCTAACAAAAATATCTGAAGTTAGGAAAATGGGTCGCAAGTGAAGTTATGAAAACAAATACATGTCTCGACTTGCCGGACACAAAAAAAAAAAGATGTCAGCTTTAACAAGAGCCCCAAACGAAGTTCAATTTCCCTATTTATAGAAGATATATCATAATTATTTGCATAAAAAAAGGTCTATCTAATTTTGCTCATATCTTTTAAGCTGCCTGACGCCTCATGTCAGTCAGTCAGTTAGTCAATCAATCTATCTATCTATCTATCTATTAATTCCTATGTATCCATGTATGTATCTGATCATTCCTATCTATCTATCTATCTATCTATCTATCTATCTATCTATCTATCTATCTATCTATCTGTTCATTCATATCTATTATTGTCTTTTTCATTCCTATCTATCTATCTATCTATCTATCTATCTATCTATCTATCTATTAATTCCTATGTATGCATGTATGTATCTGATCATTCCTATCTATCTATCTATCTATCTATCTATCTATCTATCTATCTATCTGTTCATTCATATCTATCTGGTTGTCTTTTCATTCCTATCTATCTATCTATCTATCTATCTATCTATCTATCTATCTATCTATCTGGTT